ATGGTTTTGATATAATATTATAACACTTTTCATTGCTTATATTTGGAAGACCAAGGTGGATAAGGTGTAAACACTTTCACCCGCCCATCTAATACAAAGTAATCGGAAATATCACTCTAGTGTTAAATACACTATGGGTGAGTAGGTCTGCTGTCCACCCCATAGATTTTACTAACTAGATGATAGAAAGTGTTAGTATTTGTAACAACCTAGATGATAATTTGATTAATGATTAATGATTAATTTTGAAACCTATGATGTGAACGCACCTTTGGTATAAATTATAGTATATTTATTATTACATGTTATTATATATGATAATGAAATAACATGGTTATTTTTGATATTCATAAATAATATTATATCATGCGAAATTATATATCAACTTCATCAATTTTATTCAAATAATCCTTATATGTCTTTGGAATGTTTTTTTTATTTAAAACTTCAATCTAACATTTTTTAACATTTTGCCATATTCAAGCATATTTTAATATTTTAATTAATAGTATTATAATATATTATATTAAAAAGTAAATTGAAAAATGTGGTAATATTAATTATTGTATTTATATTTCATAGAAAACAAAAAATATAATTTCCACAATAATTTTACCAATGTTATAGGTTATTATATTTAATATTCATTTAAATTTATTTCTATTAAGAAATGTGAAACAAAGATTCAACTATTAATATTTTACCAACTCAAACTAAAATGGTACCTCAACTGATTAAAATATAGAATATAGATGGATACTTTTACCCATTTACTTTCTTATATAAAATAATTTAATTAGGCTGACCTATATTACACCTAACAAAAAAAAAAATATTTTTTGGTTTATAATGTATTTATATAATTCACACAATAAAAAAAAATATACATCAAATCAATTTATGCATGCATCTATTGCATTTAATTGAGTAAATGCATTCAAATACTGCTTTCTAAACCAAGTATTTAATGTCTTGGAGTTACTTATATTTTAAAATCAAATACTTTTCAATATTTAAAAGAATTATTCTTCACATTTCTAATTGGTTTTTGATAGTCATTTTAGTTGTAATTAAAAACAAATTATTGAAAATGTATTTATTTTGTTTTTTATAAGCAACAGATTATTGTTTAATTAATATTTTAGAATAAAAATCTAACACATTATAATTTATTATCATTTTTCAGTATAAAATGAAGTAGGTAGGTAGTACAAAATTTTACTATTGTACTTAAATGTGACATTAAAATTTTAAATTTGTATTTATTAATTACTAAATAAATTTTCTTATCTACTTGTAGAGCTAAAACAGTATTTAAATTCATGCCAATGATTTGTATTTGTACTTAAATACTTTTTCTTAAAACGTTTTGAAATATTTCCTACATGCATGCATTTGTATCTTGTACATTTTTTACAACTTTTTTTTACCACTAATTAAGCTAATCAAAACAATCAAAAAGCAAATTTTGACTCCTAGAATGGTTCATAAATCTTGGACATAATTTTTTATTTATTTATTTGTATATTATTTTAAAGAGCTCAGTGGTAATTTATTTTGGTTTGCTGAAATTCTGCATAAAAAGCTGTTTATTTGGGTAATCAACATGATCTAATAGTGAACATAAGGGGAAGTTACAAATGACTTTTGTTGTCTATGTCTCACAAGTGCATAACATAACAAATTTTAAGCTGAGTAGATTATGTTTAGCTCCTTTAGTTTAAAAATTAAAGTGAATTGACCACTTATACAATTTAAATAAATTATTATTTCGGCAATTTCATAAGATTTTTATTATATTTTAATTTTAAAGCAAGTTATGAGTATTTTAAAATTCAAAATTGTTAGAAAATTTTAAAATACTAATAACTCTCGTTAGAATTTAATTATAATAAAAATCTCATGACATTGCCTAGATAATAATCTTAACTTTAAATTTTATTAGAGAACAATTCACCCTAATTTTTTAACTAATGGAGATCTGCTGAGTGTACAACTTTCTATGTCATGTACTTGTAAGACGGAGACAACAAATGTCACTGTAATGTTTCCTTAACTTGAGTAATATTTTCAACCAACTAATAAGCCAAGTATTTACATCTTATCAATCCACCTTGTGTAAAATAAAACACTAACAACAACATAAATGTTAACCACTATTATATGAGTAAGTTACTTAAACTTACGTCTGTACAACCTTCATACATAGTCAATGTAAATACAATTTGTTTGCCTCCAGGGGTCCACTATTGTTTGATATCTGATGTGGGCCTGAGGCTATGGCCCCCCTTTATCCGGGCTTGATGATTAACTTGCTTTGATTACCTACTTTGTTAATAAGTCTATAAGTCCTATAATCAATGTTTTGAATAACTATAAGTTAAATAAAATTATTTTTGAATATAAACACCCATAGCACCTAATAACTACTATTCAAAATAAAACAATGTTTATAATAGTAATATATTACACTGGGCTTATGGACAAGGAATGTGTTACCTTGATTACTGAGTAGTGATCCTTTAAATCTACAAGTTACTTGCAAGCATTCAGTTTAAATGTATCATAAACTTTAGACTTCAACAAGCAAGTACTTGCTACTGATTTAACATTGAATGTATATTTTACTTTTATGGTTTATTATTTTATATTTACTTTTATTTTATTTTATACATAGGTAGAAAATACAAAATTATAGTTATTATTTTAGAATGTTATATTTTTATTTTATATCATAAGTTTAATGTATATATTATGTAATTAATAATTACCAATGGCCACAGGCAACCATACGATAAATATAAAAAGAAACAAGGTAATTTATGTTTAATTATTTAATTATTTATTTCATTCAAATAAATTATTGGAAAAATTAATTTATATAAAAATAATTTGTTACATTTTAATAACAATTAATGGTTCAAAATTTGAATCGATAATATGAGCTCTTTTTGATCAAGATTCATACATCACAAATCTATGGCAACATTAGATGGTAAATTGGTATTTATTTCTATAAATGTTAGTTTGATTGCAAGATATTTGTGGAATACATCGAGATATTTTCAATCCTTCAATAAAAATCATAAACTTCTAAAAATTAAAAATAATAGAGTTAAACTGACATTGCTTACAGTCTAAAACTATTGTAGTAATTTTAACTTAAAAGGATACCACGACCATGTGTTTTCTTCATCTTACAAATACCTAACTTGGCAAATTGTATGTTTTGAAAAACGCTGCTATGATTAATATTAGAGCCTAATAATAATAAACCTATTATCAAATTTATAAATTGCATAATAAGCATTTTTACTCTAAAACAAATATTCAAAAAAGTGTGCACCATTTTTTATTATTTATTTTATTATTTATTCAGAAAACCAAGAATTGTTAAAAATATTCATAAATAAACAAATTCTATAAACAAAATAATTTTTTAGCTATTTATCATATGCAAAAATAAAATGATAAAATAAAAAAATATCTAGTTATGTTTTTTCAAATAACAGTAGATCTTTTCAATACTTAAATTGTAGCTTTGGAACATAATTAATACATATTATTATCTTTTTGATCAATCAATTTTGGTTTGAATATAATAAAAAACCTGCTGCTATTTCAATAGTATTGGTAAATTCAATTTTACATTTTCAGTGTAAGACATTTCTTCTTCTGGACAGTCTATCGCTGAACTCAAGCTAAAAAATCAATTTGATAATAATAAATTAAAACTAAGTAAAAAAAACAAAACTCTCTTTAACTTCATAATTTATGAATATAATTGATAACCAAATTGAGAAAAATGGTAGAGACGACGGAAAATCAAAATTTTATCTTATCTGACATAATATCTTAAAATACTTTAAACAAAATTGGATATAATTTTTAATAGGTACCTAAGAATTATGATTCTTCTATTTTAATTATATTGGAGCAGTAACGCTAAACCAAAATAAATGTACTTATTTTATTCTGAGCAATATCGTTTGCACTTGTAATAGATATTTACATAATTTAATAATTATGTTAGTTTCTTAAATTCTCAAAGTGTGTTTCGATGCAATGCTTTCAATGTTTTATTTTTCTAACTGGTTTTTGAAATGATAATTTCCCGTTTATGAGTACTAACAATTCGCATAATATGAGGTGGTTTTGAATTTGAGAAAAAGAAACAATCCTTAATTATATTTAATTTTATTATGAACTAAAATAAATACAAATTATTAAATATTTCACAATATAATTTCGATAAAATGTAGCGCCTAAGGGTCCCCACTACTACATTAAATTTTAGTTCAAAAGGCCTAAAGTTTTGACAAAATTAAAATTAGTTAACGTTTTCTAATTCTAAATAGAGATTTGAATTCAGCAGAAAAATGTCTATAGGTATAAGTTTATATTATATAATACTTTCCATTAATGAGTTTTAGTTTATTTACAATTATGATTTAATAAAATCCGTGTTTTTAAGTTTTTAATGATTGTTATAACAACTAAACAAGATTACATATTTCAAAGCGTTCCTTAAAATCGATAGACATCTATGATAACAAATTGTATAAAAATTGTAACTTGTTTTATGTTTTTTATCAAATAATAAATATTGCTTTCAAATTACAACACACCACCTGTAGAGTAAATATAAACCCATCTACTGTCTGCCTATTCCACGGATCAATCTAATAAAGCGATAATATTTTTAAAAGTACATAGATTTTTCATGTTTACATGAAAACGACTTTTAAATTAAAATTTTTAGAATTATTTGAATTGTATTCATAACATTTCAAAAGTTATTTTATAGAATTGATATAAATAAATAAAATACCGGTTTAATCGTTGTATATCAAAATTAATGCAAATTCAGATTTATTTTGAACAGGCCTTATCTGTTAAATATATTAATGTTATGTTAGATAGAAAGTACACAAGTTTTTACTCATTTATTTACTCGTTTTTATTAATATTTTTTTTTGTACCTTTTTGTTATAAAATAGCAAGAAGCTGATGATGATGATGACTCTGACAACTTAACATATCGCCAACATAAAATAATTAAGCAGCCTTCTCTAAATCGTATTCCAAGAATGTCAACTATGGAGTCTGGAATGTCACCACCAAATGAAGCAACACCGTTGCCCAAACAGCAACATCAGCCACCATTATCACAGTTTGTATCATCACCGTTGAATGCTGACTCAGCCACTGCTGATGTAGAAACCGAAAAAACGAAAAAACTTTTGGAATGGGAGCTTTCATCGTTGGAAGCGGATGACTTGCGATCGCATGCCTGGTATCATGGTCAACTGGTGGACCGGAACGAGGCTGAGCGGTTATTACGTCAGTGTGTCTCCGAAGAGTATGGTTCTGTTACTGCAAATGACACGATTTCTCCTCCAAACAATTCTACTGCTACTGCCACTATAGGCTCTTCATTATTACAAGAGCATGCCGAAGAAGACACTAGTGATTCGGATGGAATGGAAGACGTCAGCAGTGAGAGCAGTGAAGCCAATTTCGGTGATGACTCCTTGGACGAACGTGGCATGGATCCGTCCGTAGCCACGTCAACCACGATGGCTGCGGCTCTGCAGTTGCCGATTAAAAGACCCAAGCGGCCTCGCCGACCTCGGCGGCACTTCTATTGTTTTTTAGTTCGAGACAGCTTGAATGTCCGGCCACCAGGTCGATACGTTGTGTCGTGTCTGCGGGTTGACAATTACGAAGACTTCGAGACTGGGGACAAAAACAAATCCCAACGCTGTCGTGATGATCAGCGACGGAAGTTTCGCCGACAACAACAACGGAGACAGCGAAGGCAACAGAGACATCCTGTGTTGCATTTTGTCGTGAATGAGGTGAGTGACACATGTTATCTTAATTTATTATTTAGGTAGTAACTTTTTTTCTGATATTTTTTTCTATTTAAAAGGTCTTGTGTTTTTTTTTGTATTCAATAAAAAATTTTTCGATTAATATTTTAAAAAAATTGACATTTCTTAATTGGTGAAACAAAATAAGAACAACCATGACAGAATATTTTATTTCGGATCATTGACATTAAATAAAAAATTATTTTTAATGATATTAATTTGCCTTATCTGACATGAATTCTGTAGTTCACTGAATTCAATTTTACGAATTTAAAATCTTACTTCATGGAATGGCCATTTTAATACATTATTATTAGGGAACGGATTTATATGTAATAAAAATACAAAAATATGTGCTAAAAACATCAAAATATGCGGGAAAAACATTTTGATTTCTGTATAAGTACAATGCATTAATGGAAATAAAACATTCAATATAATTATGCAGATATCAGGTACATATAGAATATATTACAAAATTATGTGTTACTTGGAATAATTACAATTTCTTTTAAATCATTGAATGTGAAATGTTGCCTATTAGGTCTCAATATATGTTTAAAACGGTTAAAGGATTGTTCCACATCAACTGATGTAATTGGAGGAATGGAAGATATTTGAAGCTCATAGTATCTGAAGACGATAATTCCAAATTTGTATATGAATGTCTATCACTCAGTATTTCATTGTTTGTTTTAAAATCAATATATAGAACGGTTTGTTTTCGGTAAAAGCATGCATTTTTTTCTATCAACATCTATCCATCCGCTTGCAATTTTAATTTTTCTTTTGCTGATTCAATAATTTGAATACTATAATTTAAGGACATAATTTTTTGTTATACCGATAAATAGCTGGTTTAGTTCAACGCAACATGGCTTAAAAACGTTTGAATGATGAAATGATTAAATATGCTTAAAAATATTTACAAATTAGTGAAATATGTAAAAACATGTAAAATACAATTTTCGTTATTTTAATATGAACGATTTAAATCTTGAACATTTCTTATCAAATACTATCTTGTTCTAATAAGAATATGCATTTACATATACCTCCGTTGCCTAATTATTATGTATTGATTAATTCTTGGTATTTTCAAGCTTAATACGTATTTAAATTGTGTACATAAATATAAAGTTTTGTTGTCTTTCCTCAAATTATAGATAATCCTGCAACCCGGAACAGTATATGAGCGTTCACAATTCAGTTTTGGGGAAACCTTACCATCTCTGACTACCGCTATTTCAACTGCAGTGGTGAACAACAACGATCAACGGCAATTTCAGCCGGGATTTGATAGTGTGCCCGATCTGATCAGGTACTATGTTGGTGGTGCTGATGACAATGCCGTACTTTCTTATGGAGGTGGGAACGATGGTGTTGTGAGTAGTAGTAGTATGACACTTTCTCGGACAGCTCAAACTGATGTACGGATTCGGTATCCATGCAACAGGCGTCGCCCACTGATGATAGACTACCCGTTGGCTGAAGCGACATCTCCAAATATTTCCCCGATTACGATGGAAAATGCTCGGTTGATGCAACAACATTGCAGTGGAGTGATTGCGCTTTCCGCCCACAGTGAACGACAACGAGTATTATCCACTTCTCCTGGTGGGGAAATAGAAGCGTCAACTTCATCTCAGAATACAAATCATCGACATCATTCACCATCGTCACCTACTCAAACTTCAAAATGGATGCGCATGCATTGTGCATCTAATTCGTTAATCCGAAGAACTCCTTCAGCGACCGTAACATCCGAAATGGTTACATCAGCTACGTCTTTGATGCCTTCTGCAGCAGAAGGATCGGCAAATCAAACTCAGTCACAACCATTGACATCCCCTTGCCCCCCAATAATTGATCCACACTTGCCAATCAATAGCACCACAATATTATCACCACAAGGTATATTAATGACAACTATACCGCGTACGGCAACTTCACCCGAGAAAATCTTTATATCTAGGCCAACGCGTTTGAAACCATTCTCATCAACAGCAAAGGCCATATCAATTACTCTACCGGGCCAACCACAATCATCTTATCCACCTCCTTCAACCTCCGGTTCATCATCGTCATTATCATCTGAACGTCCTTCAACTTCGGGGTCAACGCCATTATCGTTCCAATCAGGTTTATCGCCACCACAATCGCTCGCCTCGAGCAGTACTCCACACTTGACAATCTCTGATTTATTATCATCACCATCATCTTCAATGGACTCACCGAGAATTTCACAGAGTTTATCAAGGGTTAATTCATTAAATCGTGAATTAAATGAACCGTCGCCGTTCAGTGTTTCCAGCATTACTACGACGGAAACGAATGAGAGTGTACCAACACCCGCCATCAATAGAGATCCCCCTTTAACACGACCTTCACGCAGAGATTTAATCACTGCGCAGGTGGCTCGTATTATGAACCATCCTATTCAGAGAGCAATATTGTCACCATTTGTTCAAGTAAGGGTACGCAATGGCTATCGGTCTATGCTGAACAGGATGTTACAACCTGAGCATGTAAGTCAACCAAGAATTTTTAATGGTTCTCCGAATATGAGTTTATCAGGAATCAATCGCCATGAGTACGATGGCCCCCGGAATGGATCAGCAAGCAATTTGATTCAGCCCGAAAGACGTCAAGTTCCTAGTAATAGCCAGAATACATCCTCAGAAAATGAGAATGATGACGAGGAACGAATGGAGCATCAATCCTCGTCATCCAATTCTTCTTCCATTTCAACATCCACGTTAAAGGATCAAGAAATAGGGCGAAATGGCGATGGACACAGGCAGATAACGGACCATCAGAAAGTAGAACACATTGTAGAGGAACCCCCAAAAAATGAGCGGCAATGCACAGGCAGACAGGATGTAAATTGCAAAAAAAAACCTCAGGTTGAGGAGGTCCAAGAGGTTGAGATGAGGAAAAAAAGTGTAGAAGAAGAGCACACACCTGATGATCTAGTTGATTTAAAAGAAGATCAAAAACAAAGTGATGGGCAGAGATCTTTGGATCCAGATTCCAACGTAGAAAAATCATCGGAAGCATCTGAAAATCAGAATTTTCGGAAATGCCGCACTCGTTGGACTAACACACTGCGTCAAGGGTTAGTTGACATGCTGGAACAGCCACATTTGGATTACCAGAATCGACAACTGACTCGAATTACGGGGACACAAGACTGTGATCCCCGACAACGAGGTTCGCGGCAAATAGATCAGACGCTGATTGAAGACCAAGAGATCGACCATACGACAGAGAGTATGGAGACGGAACTGCATAGAATATTACTAGACACAGAAACCAGACAACTAGCAAGTTTAACTAATCAAATAGGTCGAGCGGTCTCAGTTCCCCCAGCTCAAACACGTGCCACTCGAAATTCTATTAGGTTATCAAATAATGACTTAGCTGAAAACATGATTAGGCAATGGGTAGGTTTACAAAGAATTTCAAATCGAAGTAGAAGCTCCGAAGTAAAGGGAATACACAATCGAAGCCGAATACCTCTAATCGAACTTTTGCCACGTATTCGGCGGCAACGGTGGCAGAATAATAGACTTGTGACCGTTTTGCGAAACCCCCAGCTGCCTGCAGAGGACGATTTTCAGTCGTCGGGGGAGTACCTTAGAGGACACGTGACTCCACCGGGAGGAGTCCAAGTGCGAATGCAGATGAATATGAATTATCCTCAAGTGAATCGAGGTATAACTGGTCATAGTATCATTAATCAGGAGGGTAGAGGCACCCCCGTCGCCAATGCCGGTCAATCGAAGACTGTCGAGTCCAATGCTGACACTTCCAGCCAAAAAAAAGGTACTTGTTCTGTTGGTGTCGGCAGTATTGGGCGCAAGCTGGCTTGCGATTACGTAAACATCAACCCTTTAATCGATGACCATAACAACTCATTCAAAAAAAGTGGTACTGTACCTTTCAACACTAACGATCTTGACACGATCCATCACAAAAATTATCAACACCACGGATATAAACACCAAGTCAGCGAACAAAAAAACAATAATAACTACAAAAGTTTTGTTGCTAACAACATCGAAGCAGACGCCGATTATGAAAATATAATTACTCATAACACTGAAGATACCAATGATTTTAATTACGAAAATATAGGTCAAAACAGTGATGAGAAACGTCAACTAATTAATGACTGCAATGGAGGTAGTACTGCAGTTGCTGCTGCTTTGCGTGCCGTCCACCTGGCGATAATTGGTGATCCTGACGACTACGGTGGAACAACAGTGGGTTCTGCCAGATTAGCAGCCGCCTTGTGTCGTGCTGATGGTCGGGCCACCGTACTACCATATCGACGAAATTTTACTGAAAGTGAACAAGTTAGCCCACTTTTGAGTACATGCCCGCTTCAACTTTTGGGCCAACCAGGACCAGCGGGACGTCGAGCTCGTCTAGATGTCATAGAGAGGTATACCTAACATTGTTTTAAATCTAGTCCAATTTTAGTTTTGTAAAACCCTTAAAATTGCTTCAGATCACTTATAGTACATAATATGGGCGTTTTTAAGATATGAATTTCTACCTTAAATATAAATTATAATACACTACTAACGTTAAACAATACCTTAGTCAGAAATTTATATTTAAAAAAACACGCCAAAATTAGATAAAAATGTAATATGTGGAATCGTGTACGTGATTAAATGTTATCAAAATCTTCAAGATTCCGAATGTATTCCGGTACTTTTAGTATTCTTTGACATAAACGTAAAATCATAAGTTATCGTCTCACCAATTGTAAATTGCATATTCGAGTCAGTAATTTGGTTATCTAAAAACATCTGTTTTCAATAACTACACAAATATTTTCATAGTTATAAAGATATTATTTCAATAATAAATATAATTCATAAACACGAGTACCATCTTATCAAAATCAAAATAACATTTTATATTTCATTTCAATTATACACCTCGTATTTGTTTATATTTGAACACATTTTTATAATTTTTATAATATACTAGCTGTCCCACCCGGCGTTGCCCGGCCAAAAGTCACCTTAGTTGAACCTGAGATTTTTTTACATTATATTAATAATAGCTAACCCGTCAAACGTAATACTACATAATTTGCCTACATGTGGAACAGAAATTAGCCTGTATATTAAGATGGTGATTAAAAAAATTATAAAAAATTAGTGAAAATTTGATTAGTTATTAGTTATTTTTTACCAATAACTAATGTAACGCCATTGATTGTAAATACTAATAATAGATACCCAGATAAATTTTTTTTTTTTGCTTAACTAAATAATTATAATAATTGTTTATTACTCCACGTCAATACCGACCTGCCTAGAAGCACTTTATCGGACTAAATTTATACCTAAAACCTTCTCTGTGATATCTTCTTTAATTTAAAAAAAATTGCACGACGATTGAATAAGTAGTTAGGTAGTTTATCTGAACAAAAGACAGCGACTTCTATAGTAGTATAGATATTAGATAAAGATATAGATTATAGTTAGATCGCGTTGTAAATTGTGAGTGACTGAAACAAAAAAAAAAGTTTAAAAAACGAGAATTCTTAAGCAAAACCATCTTTTGATAAAATCTATTTTGTTAGTTTGGGCAGGTAACTAAAAAAAAATTGACCGTAAATACATGATTTTTTCGGCGAATATTTATATTAGAATTTTCTATACATCATACAATTTTTGAATCTTTTAGTGTTATTAATAGTCATAAGTAATTTTCTATTTTTGTTAGTTTTTTTAAATTATTGTGGAGAAAATATGTTTGCTCGGTCATACGATTTTACTAGTGTAATTAAAAATTAAAGCCAAGCGAAAATTCACAATAGTTTTTTATTGGCATCTGAAGCTAATGAAATTATTTCTACATTGGATGGTCAACCATAAACTAACAATTTAACAGTGAATGATTATTTATTTTCTAAATAAATAATAAATATAAATAAATATAAAGATAAATAGCCACAGATACTTTAAATATTCACCAATTAGTATTTTTATAGTTTAGTTCTTAATTTCTAAACTCTCCTTAAACTAATTTAGGTGTCAGATAAATGTTGACCGTGTAACTTAAAATCTAGTGGGTTCACCCGTTTTTTTATTTGTATTTATTTTCGTTATTATAATACATAAGTTATTATTATCTAGTTATTATAATCATCGTTTACTTCACCACCACCACACCACTGTATATTAAATTATAGAAATGTAATTATCTATACCATCATTTAAAATCTTTCTTCTCTTTATTAAGTATTATTCTTATTTATCGATGTGCCCAAAATTATTTGTATACCTATCCAAGATTTTATATTTCTTCTTCTCGGGTGAAGGTTGTGCGTTCGTACAAGATTTCTTTATAGCAGTCCGTTTTTTAATATTATTATTACTTTCCCTCAATATTATCTTCTCAATATCTAAATTAAGTATAAAATGTATAATCCAGTCCTAGGGAATCTTGGTATGTGGTTCGCCACCCAAGATATTTTAGTGTACCCTACAACACCTGACTTGTTCTCGCGTTATCCTAAAGTAACAACCATCGAGTATTTATCGTCTTATCATGACACTTGTATAGTAGTTAAATATAATTGCTATTATTTAATTCATGTGATTTAATATGTGTTTTAACTTCAGAAAACAACTTAGTTTCTGCCTGCCAACCTTATTTCATATGTGGTGTTGTTCTTTAGGTTTGCTTGTCTGCAGTACCTAGTTGCAATGACAGTAATAGTGACGCCTTGTTTGCTACTAATTGGCAGTGACATAAATGACAAAGAAAATCTAGCAGATGAAAATCTCGAGTGGAGTTTGGAAGATGAATACGAATACCGCCGTCGGCGGTTCTATTACCGATGTGCTGGTATTAGTAGTTGGTGTGTCTCTGATAACAATTCCACTTCTGATGACGATGACGAGAATTATAAACTAACAGCTAATTCAGATTTTGACTCTGGTTATTCATTGCCACCAAGAGAAGAGTGGGCTATTGAAAAACGTCACTGGTTGGATCTTCTGACTAGACATAGAGCAGCTGCTCTCGATAAGTGGATTCGTACGGCAGCTGATGCCAAACAGGCAGTGGGTGATGTGTATGGTTATCGGGCTCTGATGTCAGCGCTATGTTCTGATAGGGTAATTATTAAAATATATTTGTAAAATATTAATATTTTGAAACGATTTATAAATAAAACCTTAGTAAGAAGTGTGCACTAATTATTTTTATATACCTATATTTTAGATTCAGTCACTTCAAGATGCATGGGCAACTCTTCGTCGATTACACACTGACACAGCTGTTGCGTTTGAGTCCCGGCTTCGACCCGAGTTTCTGGGCCGCAGAGAAAAAAATTTAGTGACAGTGTTGGGAAAACCAGGCATTAATGACATCGATGATAACGACGTGAATGAGCTACTGCAGCTTCCGCCAAACGCAACAGTTCCTGATGCCACAGCACTGGCTGTACTATATGAACATTTGTATAACGACAATAATTTTAATACGAGTAGTAGCTTCAACACTACTTCCACTAGCTTAAACGATGTTGGCAGTAACAAGGAAAAAGACCCTAGAGTATCGTCATTTTTTACATCACCATTGTTACTGTCACCTTCACCGTGGTCGTCTCTCAATAGTGGTATAAGTCGTGGACTAGGATCTTCGGTTGCGTCTGACTACGGACTGAGTGCTCTTCATGTTCAGTGCATCCAGTACTCCGAGTGGGTGCAGCAGAGTTACGGTAATGATGATTCTATATTAACGAAACCACCTATGTTACAATTGGACCGGTTTCGCAGTAACTTCCGTGCACTATTACATCAGTATAGTGGAAGTTGCATTGATGATTATGACGACGATGATGAAAGATTTAACTATGTACTCGATTACAAAGATGAAAACTTCCAGAAGGATGAAAATACTTCCCACCACAAGGAAGTTAACTACAATCGAAACGACGAATTTGCATACGAACGACAGTATGAAGACAATATAGAGAAATATGGCACAAGTAGTGCTGATTATGATGATTGTGGCGATGACGATGATGATGATGCTACAGTTATCTGCTGTAATAACAGCAGTTCTCTTTCAGCAGTGAGAAGCATTGCAGTTGATAGTATGTGTGAAGACTCACATGTTGGAGCTATGGCAACAGAAAAGCGACGACAAACAACAACGAAAAATGAAGAATGCCATCTTTCTCCAGATCAAGAAGAAGACCGATTCTATCGCTGGATCGAGGATGTGAGTGTTTATAGTCCAGGCCCCGCACCGCTGAATATTGTGTTCTGCACCGAGCTTCATGTCCGACTATTTTGGCCTCCAACTCTTTTCCTTCAAGACGTTAATGACGACAAAGATACCGTTGATCATAAGTTGGCGATACCCGCCTACGCGCTAGGCACGACATACGCTGCGACCGCAACAGCAGCTTACGATGGTGAAAGCGAATCTTCTATCCATGTGCCACTGGCGTTGGACCTGAATCATGTAATTACTGCACAACTGGATCAAGCTGCTCAGGATATGCGTCTCAGGTACAAAGCCATGGATGATTTTTTGGATAGAGCATGTGCCTATTCGACGTTGCTCGCTAAAGTAGCCTATGAAGATAATACGATGGTAGGCAAACAACAACAGCATTGTATGCTGTCACAGTGTGTTTAGAAGAGCTATCCTCTTTGACTCCGGGGAATCTCTAATATTGTAGAGGTTAAGTTGTGCTAATCTACTCCGGAGTAATAATAAGCCAAATATCGACATTGTGAAGCTGTAACTAACTAAACATTAGAATATTGCTAGTATTATTTCTTGTTTATTTACTATATATCATATAGTATGTTGTATAGTATATTCAGCTAAGCTATTTCGAAAATCAATTGTATATATAAACCTTTTAGTGTGATTCACAGAAATGCAAGGTCGTTATACAATTTCTCACTTCCTTTGTGGCATTGATCACTGGCGTGCGTCTGCTATCATACTCAAGGGTTATGTTAGGTTAGTTTATTTTATAGTTATAAATGATATACGTGAGTGTACTCATTATGGTGGATTATTCTAATTAAACTGCCCAGTGGCTGGGGGTAGTAAGAATACTGGCCACGGTAATGAGCGCGACCGGTCGTAAGAGGCGTCCAACACGCTCCTGTGCGCGTCGAACATCATTCCGGTGCTGGCGATTAAATGCCAAGATGCTCGGAGCTGCTAATTAAAAGACGCGCTCAGCTGGCAGCATATTTTGTTAAGTTCTATTGTTTCACATTAATTTTATGGTTTATTTTTACATTTTAAATTTTTTTTAAAGCCTTTGAATATTCTGATTGTTATTGGGGTAGGTATCTTTATATATTTAGTAAAGCCCTAATTATGATTAAGCCTTATCATCACAGGCTAAACATAACATCTAAAGTAGTAATAATCTCATTTGATCATTATAAAAGTTTAGGTAAAAATATGTTTATCAATTTAATAATAAAAAACACATATTTCTCAAAATCTTTCATTCAATTTACACAATTTCTCATATTATTTTCCGTGGTTTAACCGTTGTTATCTTATATTCCATTTTTTTTTATTCTAATAAGAATTCATATTTATTTTTATTACACAGGTCTTTAATAAACAGCACATTATAAGTGCATTCATTTTTCTTTTATATACCTAGGTATAAGTTAGTCTGTTTATGAACTGTTATTTTAAGTGATGTTTATGGTTAAGAATTTTTAGATTTAATGTACATTTATATTATCCATATTTTTCTAAAGTTTAATTTTTTTTTTTTTCTAAGAGGCAAAGGACTGTTATTTTAAGTACGTAATTAAGATTTTATAATAATATATAAAATTAATGAAGATGAGCGTATTTGACGATATTAGAAATACATTTTAATGTAGATTAATGTAAATAAATGTAGACATATAATATATTATAATTTAATATACGTACGACCCCTCGATAGTTTTGAGTATAAATATAAGTAGGGGGGTTAGGTTATAATTTGGGCGCAGTTTATACCTGAATTTATTTAATTTCGGTTTAGCTAACTAACATGGATTAATATAAATATAAATATGTATATATAACATAGGTTAATAAACGATTTATAGCGTTGGATAGTCGTGATTGCCGGACGTTAAATACTCGAGTCGAGGTTTTGTTTTTTCATTTTTATTTTTTTGATGTACATGCAATTGGTTGTTAGGTACTACAAGTAACAACAGTTGCATGTACACGCCCGCTCGATAGTTTAAGTTTAAATATAAGGATAATATTAGCCGCAGTTTATACCCGAAATTTACCCCAACTTTCCAAATAGCAAAGTGCTGTTCAGAGGACGTCGTACCGTTACGTCTTCTCTACGCTTACTAACGCATAATATATCAAAATGTACGTCCAGCAGTTCCAATTTTGTATTGTTAGCTTAAATAATAAAATGAATTAAAGAAGATTATCTGTGTTCTCTCGCTGGTAATGGGCCAATTCACTCTAATATTTAAGCTACAGTACAAATTCGGAATTACTGGATTTAAATTCGTGTATATTTTATGCGTTAGTATGACGGAGACGACATCCTTTTATAAATATTTTAATTTAGAAATAAACTTAAATTTCGGTTAGGCTAACATGGATTAATATAAATATGTATGCATAATTTAGCATAATAAATGCTGTATAACGTGGTTGCCGATTGGTTAATACTCGAGTCGAGGTTTTGTTTTTTCATTTTTATTTTTTTGATGTACATGCAATTGGTTGTTAGGTACTACAAGTAACAACAGTTGCATGTACACGCCCGCTCGATAGTTTAAGTTTAAATATAAGGATAATATTAGCCGCAGTTTATACCCGAAATTTACCCCAACTTTCCAAATAGCAAAGTGCTGTTCAGAGGACGTCGTACCGTTACGTCTTCTCTACGCTTACTAACGCATAATATATCAAAATGTACGTCCAGCAGTTCCAATTTTGTATTGTTAGCTTAAATAATAAAATGAATTAAAGAAGATTATCTGTGTTCTCTCGCTGGTAATGGGCCAATTCACTCTAATATTTAAGCCACAGTACAAATTCGGAATTACTGGATTTAAATGTGTGTATATTATGCGTTAGTATGACGGAGACGACATCCTTTTATAAATATTTTAATTTAGAAATAAACTTAAATTTCGGTTAGGCTAACATGGATTAATATAAATATGTATGCATAATTTAGCATAATAAATGCTGCATAACGTGGTTGCCGATTGGTTAATACTCGAGTCGAGGTTTTGTTTTTTCATTTTTATTTTTTTGATGTACATGCAATTGGTTGTTAGGTACTACAAGTTACAGCAGTTGCGTGTACACGCCCACTCGATAGTTTAAGTATAAATATAAGTATAATATTAGCTTACATATTAGGTTATTAGGTATTATATATTATAGTGTTAAATTGGGAAGTAGTTATGTCGCCTATTTTAGTTTAGACTTTAAAATTGTTGCCAAGTTTTCGTACTGGCTGGCTGTATTTAATTAATTAGATTACGCGTGTGTCCGGGTACGGGTTTTTTTTTCATTTTTTTTTTCATGCCCACCGTAGAACGCATGCGTAAGTGCTAAAGTTTAGTTTTTAATTTTTTATTACCTATTTCATCATGATGTTGTTGAAATTTGCCACATCAGCCCGTTTAAGCATCGTTCATTTCGTAAAATATATTTAATACTGTCATTTAAATTTGAATAAGATAATAAAAAACTTTTATATGATTTATCGTTAACGATAAATTCCGATCGTGTAATAATTCATATTCCATACAGAATAAAACTAATTGTCGAATAATTAGCTTGCTTTTCTAAGTTACTTTATTATATTTTTTGTCTAGAGTTTAAAATTGTGGCTAAGGTTTTGCCCTGGCTTAAATCATAAGCAAACACAGTGGATTAGAAGTCTAACTTATTTGCATGTTCCTGGATACGGTTTTATTTTATATACTCACCGTGCACATGCATTTAAGTCCTTTAGTTTAGTTTTTATTTCATTTTTTACTTTATTCATACTATTAAGTTTAATAATAATTAATTATGGTAAAATCTTAACTGCCAATATTATTATTTGGTTAAATTGGTAATTATATGGACCAATTAAATATCTGCTCATTCATTGTGTTCAGTGTTCACCCTATTATTGATGCATATAACTTTTTAATAATCATAACATTATAACGAAATTCCCGTAATTTTCTATCAATCCGTTCTCGTTTCGTAGCCAAAATGATTTTATTTTTTTGTCCCACACAAAACAGCAATTTCGATTACTTGGCATTTAAAGGTTAAACGATAAAAATAAAGATAAAGATACAGATTATATTTTTAATTTTTTAATAATAAAATACTAATATCAGTTAGATAATTATATATATGAATACTTCTATTTGAGTGTAGTTGTATCGAATAATGTTTCATTCACAACATATTATTTTTTTTGGTTTAATCGGTACTGATACCATTTGCATAAAAGTTTTGACCAACAAAAAATACATTTATTTTATTACATCCCAAAAATTACATCGCTGAACATTCACTACTTTTTGAACATTTTCATTTTAGATTTGACAACTAAACATTCAAAAAATAATTCTCTTTCATTAAATTACCAGGTAAAGGTTTTATACAACCTTGGTCATTGTAAAAGTAACAAAGTACAAATTATTTAATAGACACCCGGGTTATGTATTACATTGTATGGTTTATTTACAAACTGTTTGTCTATTTAACCAGTGTATTTATTCAATGTACGGGTATTTTTAGTTCTATATTTTATTTTATTACTTTAATTATTTTTATTCTACTATTATATTTTTTTTTTATTAGAATTAATAATTGATAATATTATTATTATTATTATTATTTATTATATCATAGCTTGGTTATTGTAAAAGCGTGCAGCTCAAATGTTTGTGTTTTGATTAAAAAAATACATAATGTAAAAAATTGTTGTCGTAAAAATTATATAATGTATCACTTATAATGTATCAGTGGAACCAATGACTTAATTAACCACAACTTCACAGTAATTGATATATATTTATTTTTTTTCAAAACATGTAAGAAATATTTATTTCTATGATTTTTGTGTACTAAATTTGTATTTTATATTTTATATTTCCGGTGTATTGTAGTATTATTTCTCATATTTTATCGATTCGTGATTATTTGTTTATTTTAATAATGTCTGCACGTGTAATCTTATTTGAATTAATAAATAGTAATATAATATATTATAGTTTAGCTGTAACTTTGTTTCTCAGGTCATCACTATTCCTTTGGTATTTACCTTGTACAACTACACTTTACAGCAGAATCAGTTCACATTCAGTGATAGGATTGAGAAGGAGCCTACCTACACAGTGTTTAAATATATATATAAAATATGCTACTGCTTACTTTTATAACTTTTGATGTGGAACATCTAATGCTGCGGGTGAGACTGGTTGTGTTGGTAAACATAAAATTCTATACTCGAGAATAAATAATAATTTCATGGACACTCGTCATGTGGCGAGTGCGTGTATATTACATTAATATCAAATATTATTAAAATGTGTATAATACGAAATACACTTGAAAAAAATTACAGTAATAGTGTGTAGGAAGCCTACTGCAATAGTGTATACAAAACGGAAAACGTAAAAAAAGTATATATATAAAACATAAATTATAAAATAATAATAATTAATAAATAAAAAACGGGCACGCGATAGCGGCTACCGTCGTTGCGTGCAGGTGTCCTGCACTACAGCCGTTGTCTTCGGAAAATCATAATTTTCACAATATTCTATCATTATTCTTCGAGAGGTCGTCAGACTAGTGGTGCGTCCAATCCATGTAGTACGCCGTTGGTAGCCGGAACGTTACGGACCAACACTTGAGCGGCACCACCGTTCAGCCGTATCCTGCCTAAAATCGGTACAAGTAATTATTCAAATGTCATCAACAAGATTGTATAAACTATTTAAAATATATTGATTATAGTGACACGTTTTCGGTATTTTTTTTTAGGGGGGGGGGGGGAACTTCTTACATAGTTCATTGGACTTAAATTTTCAAAGTTCTATTTATAAACCACATGATACGATTTTGAGTACTTATACTAATTTTCACACGCTTTTTTTATTTTTATTTTTATTGAATTTGTTTTAATCAACGAAAATAATAATCGAGGTCCATTGCACCCTGTAAAAGATTATCTTCTAATGAACAATAATTAATCAAATTAGACCGTTCTACAATCCATGAGATTTTTTCTTATAAAGAGTGTTTTGAGTAAAAAATCACGCTTTTCATTTTTAGTTGGCGTAATCATTGACCCTTGGGGGGCCACTTGCTATAATCACACTCACGCTAATCAATATTCACGACTAACACAAATGCCATGGAATTCAAGTCGAGGTTGCATATCGAAAAGTTAGCATCGAAATTGCATACGTATTGCCTAAATATTGTCCCTTAATATAGACACATTTGCAGGCCTTTTAAACTGGGATTAGATTTGAAAAGTGTGGTACATTTTTTTGAAATGATTATAAAAAATGATATTTATTATATGTTTATAAATTATTTAATGAACCAAATAATTAAACATATCAAATTCTTTACTCGGTACAACACCAAGAAATCAACACCTTTCAAAATATTGTAATATTAGATATTAAATACCTGGTATTTGGAAATTTTAACATTTAGATACATAAATTATGATTTAAACTATTAAAAGATAGTTGCAAACCCACCCGAATCCTTGTACACGGTCAACTGATAAAAACGTGATTTTTCGCCGTCATTCGGCGAAACCGTTAAATTTCCATCGTCTACAGCACCGTTGAAGTCTTCCGCTGCACCTTCGTCGTCCTCCTCCGCCGCAGCTGCAGAATCGCCGGCTTCTGGTAGCCGATACGCAGTATCCCTGACCTGGTAAAATCTCAATCCTGCTGTGTACATGGGAGGGTCTCCTGGTCCTGCCAACACCACGTGGCTGAGCACGAACCGGTCAGCAATCCGCCGACGATTTCGCTTTTTGAACCTGCTACTGGTGTCCTCGTGAAGCATCCAATCGATTATTGAACCACTACTGCTACTCGTGCTATAATTTCCCGAACCACGGCGTACGCGGAAAGCTTCGTCTACAGGCGCAAACACTGTCACAGTTCTTGAACCTTTTTAACAGATAATTGTAATCGAAATTTAGAAAAAATATATAGTTTATAATAATAATAAAAATAATATCTATTTAAGGTTTTTCAAAACTTAAAAAACATACCCACTACCCAGGAAACTATTCCCACATGCTGAATCACAAACGTGTTCGCGACAATACTTTTTACCTACCAAAGTACACTAACTAACAATAAAAAAAAAAGATTACCAGTGAGTAGCGATCGCACGGTGGGCGAACAGTGCTCGTCCACAGCTCGCAAAAATACGTTGTACCTTCGCTGCCTGTCGGCTCTCATGGTGGCAAGTACGTCACCGACCGGCAGTGGGAATAATACGCGGTCAACTGCATGCCCAATAGCCATGATCTGTTGTTGATTGCTTCCTCCTCCACTTCCGCTTGACGACAACACCATATCCCTACGCTGCTGCGTGGGCCCGGCGCTACCGTCGTCGGAAGTAGAGCCATCGTTAACTGCGGAAGACGCCGTTGGATTGACGTCGTCCAACACTCGGGCACCGTTGACAGTAAGCACCTGAAGTACATTGGTAAAATAAAAGTTAGGAGACTAGCACTAATAAATTACAGTGACATCAAATACAAATGGTTCCAAGAGCTTCCCATTTTATGAATAGTATCTATGTATACAGTATGTCCCGAAAACACCGTGTCAAGCTAGGATCTCCCCGGAAAATCAATACATATACCTACACTATATTAATAAGGATGGAAATTCTAATTAAAAAGTATAAGAATAAATTTTATTTTCCAAAATTTCAAGCATTTCCAAAAAAAAATGTATACAGTTTTTAAATTCTTAAGATAGCCATTTATTTACTATTTATTTAAAATAGTTTAAAAAAAAATAAACATTAAAATTGAGTAAAAGTTAATCAAATTGAGTTTGATTTCCTAAGAATAATATTGTTATGCGAGCAAAACACAAATTGATTTAATCGATCTTGCTGATTTTTTTATGACAATCTACTTCAAATCTATTTTTATTTACATCATTGAAAAAATGATTAACACGTTCTTATAGTATATTGCATCGACATGGTAAATATTACTCTCGAAATATTGAAAGTTACAATATGCAAAGCTATATATAATTGAGAATCCAGATCGTTAAAAACGATCGTACAATGATATACACTAATTCAACTGATTATTTATGTTTCAGTTGTTGGAAACATAAAATTGAGTTATTATCAAGTTATAATGTTACAAATATATTTTTGCAAAGCCTCACTAATAATTAGATATTTACAAATTGTCGTACAAAAAATCCAGGGTCTCATCGAGATTAATTAAATCATACGATTTGTGTTTTGCTAATATAACTATATATTTTACAAAATCAAAAACCTAATTTACTTTAACTTCGATTTTTATTAAATGATAATATATTTTTTTTTTTTGAGCTGTCTTAAAAAATTGAAATCTTGATTGCTTGCAAAAACCAAGTCTCATTTAGGTATCCTTCATATTTAACTTTTAAAAAAAAGACAAATATTAAATCTCCCTTATTATATATTTGTAATGTGGGTATAATCACTTCTATGTCGTTCCATCGGTTATCGTATAGCTGTCGGGCGTACAAATTCGCACGAAGTTGTGTGCCCGCTAAACTGACGCCGGTCATTTCGTCTCCTGCCATCAAATCAGACGCCCTAAATGCTCCAGGCACGACATGATGCAACAAAAGCTTTTGAAATAAAATTGGAATTATTAAAACAAAACAAATTAAATTTTTGTTACACTACCGCATTACGGTTATTAGTGATAGCTGAAAACACATATTCATAATAATATAGAAAATATATAGTTACCCCGATCAGCAAACGTGGGTTTTCACGGAACTTGTCTTCGGCACGATCGGGGCCGCCCAGCTGCACTAATAGTGCTCTGAATGCCTTGTCCGTCGGTACGAATACAGTAAACGGGCCTATTTGACGTAAAAAATATAAAAAATTATGCAACTATAATAGCAGCTCCTTTTAAATCATGGCCCTAGAATATTAATCATGTATAGTCCATACTCCACACGTTATATGGATATAAGTCCATGATGGAGGCCAGTTGTATGACTACGTTTGAGTAAGTATACAACCGAACGTAAGGATATGTTTTTTTAGAACCGCAGGTATATACAAATATTTAAGTTTCAATTGCTTTAAAGATGTAAATAATTTTTTTAGTAAGTACATGAATGTCTTCAAAGTTCAAAGTAAGATTAAGAACGTATATATATATAAGAAGTGTGGCAATTAAAAAAAGTATATATATACCGGTCTCTTCGAGCACAGCGTCCACACCGGCTTGTCGCATGTATTTGGCCATTGCGTAGTAGCCACGGCGACGAAGAGCCCCACTAAACATGCCTTCTTTCACGGCTTTGTTGTTATTGTTGTTGTTGTTGTTGTTGTTGAAGTATGACAAAGTTGAATTTACCAGCGGTGTAGTATAAGACGCTGACGTGGTAATTGTTGGTGGTGTATAAAATTGTTGTTGTTGCTGTTGGTGCTGTTGCTGGTGTTGGTGCTGATGGTGGTGATACTTGTTCTGCTGTTGCTGCTGTTGTTGTCCGGTAGTAGTTGCAACGGCTACAGCTTCGGTCGGTACGGCGGTAGGGAGGAAAAAGTTTTGGTATTGGTGCTGATGTAGCGCGGTGGTAGTGGTTTGTGGGGCCTTGGTGGGAAAGTATGACGTCGGGGCTGGTTCACGGCGCTTGTTGGTGCTAACGCCGATACCGCCGGTCACCAACGTTGATTGAGGCTGTACGGTAGACGGGAACGGCGAAACGTACGCCGGAAGAGGTGTCGAGGCAGTGGTACTGGCCACCGCCGCGCTGTCCTGTGCACTAGTCTTGGACGACGGTGTTGGTGAGCCACCCGAGGGCAGCCTGAGTTCGCCCCGGTTCAGCTTGTCCACTAGCTGCTGGAGCTGTTCGTCGTCGGCCACCGCAGACGTGCCGGCCACGTCGGCCGCCGCGTCACTGCCGTCGGACGGGGCGCCTCCGTGCTGCTTTTTCTCAATCCCGCGCACGCGCACGGTGCCGTCCGGTCGTTCCTCCAGGATGACAAACGTCACCGGTTTCTTTTTGCCACCAGCCGCAACCGCTTGTTGCTCTGCATACGCTGCGCCGCTGTCGACCGTAGCCGCAGTCGCTGCGTCACCGCCGTTCTTGGCAGCGGCACCGCCGTCCACGCCTCCGGCGCGAATTATTTCGTACTGTGCGACGCCGGGTGGCAGCACTTGCCGGGCTAGCTGTTCTAGTTGCTGCTGTTCGCTAACCGTCCAGGGCTGCGATGGTGCCGCACTCATAACAGGGGCTGCCGGCGGCGAGACGGCCGGTGGGGCGGCAGCGGGCTGCGGCTTCTGTCGGATCACAACCGTTTTGACGATCGTGTTCCGGCCACCGCTGGCCGTGTTGACGGTACCACCGACATTGGGCGATGCTGCGCCCGCGAATATCGCACTCGTATCTTGCTGTTGCTGTAACCGATTTCGTGACGGTGATGATCCGGTACCGGAACCACCGCCGCCGATCTTCACGTACTGAGCATTGTCGTTGGACGCCGATCCGGTGAAATGCTGTGTCAACCTATGGTTAACACCGCCATCGCCGCCTGCCGAAGTGAGTACCGTATAATTTCCACCGCCGGCACCCACGACCGCCGTCAATTGCTGACGGATCTGCTGTTCGATGTCCGCGTCCAACCCACCACCACCTCTCTGGTCGTCGTTGTCGCTGTCTCCGATGTTGGCGGCCACGGGAACCTGTAACGCCGGTGGCTGTGGTTGGGGGTAATATTGCGGTTGTGGTTGCTGTACCGGCTGCACACCCTGCAGTGGTATGTACTGCTGGTGCTGGTGGACGTGCCGATGCTGATTATTGATGGAAGTCGTAGAAACCACGGACGACGGAGGCGTCGTTACGAAGATCTGCTGCTGCTGCTGCTGCTGCTGCTGCTGCTTCTGCGGACGATGGACGTAATGTTGGTGGTGCTGTTGTTGTTGTTGTATTGTAGGGCCTGCTAACGTCGTAGGATAGTATTGCTGCTGTTGTTGCTGATTCTGACTGTGCTGATGGCTGTATGAAACTGTCGTCACCGGAGGCGATAAGGACGGTTGCTGCTGTCTGTTGTGATTGTTGTACTGCTGCGGTGACTGTGGTTGCCAACCAACAACTGCACCACCTCCGCCGCCGATAGACCTCTGTTTGCCATGACGGTCGTCTTCCGGATTGTCTGCGGCTGCATCGTCATCGTCTGCGGCCACGCCGTTGATCTGCAACAGCTGCTGCAGCTGGTCGACCGCCGAATCTTGGTGCTGGTCGCCACTGTCCTCCATCGGGATGTTCGCCGTCGACGACGGTACCGTCGATGCCGTTCCCGGTGCCGTCCACCACTGCTGTTCCTGGTTGTGCCGACGGATGTCGTCGAGTATGTGCGTCTGCTGGACAGCCGAGAGCTTGTGCGGCGGTTGCTGTACGGAATAGTCGTCGTCATCGACGTGCAGCAAGGACGGTCCGTTGCCGATGTCACGTTGCTGCTTAAATAAAAAAAAATCGAATGAAACAAAATATATATACATTTATGGGCACTATTTTTTTTTAGGGTGGTATTTTATATTTAAGTTTAATTATCGATAACTTGTAGCGGGTTCATTCCGTTGTAGTAATCAATAAATATTAATTTATAAAAAAAATAGAACGGCATAATATTACGACATATATTTTACAGAGGCACTTAGTAAATATATTTATTTTCATAAGTGGGTACCGAGGGATAGGTTTCAACATCGAAACACCCCCCTGGCTACGTCACTTAAACTGTAAGCACGAATCGTATAAATTGTTACCTACTCGTGCAGTGACGTAATCTTAACAAATAATGTACATACGTATACGGTAACGGGAATACGGATATTGGCCTTTGTTACTTTCGTGTGGTGAACTATAGAGTACATATATGTAGGATTTAATTTCGAGTGAAGAATAATATTATAATTATATCGTAATAATGATTATAAAATCAAGAAGCCTTTTTTGGTTTATAAAAGATTGATGTTACGAAATAATAATTAACTTTATAACTATTGATTATTGATTTTAAATTTAAATGAAATTAGGCTGGAAAATCTTAGCGATTTTATTTTTCACGCATTAAGATTTTAGACCTATGAACTTCTAGCTAAATAGTAAATATACTTGTAGTAGGTACTTCAATTTTAATTGTTAATACTAATTTGAATTCCTCTGCCTCTTTTCTGTGTTTTGTGGGAAAAACTTTTTAATTTGTTTACGTCATTGGCCTTTTAAAGTGTACATACCTATTCATTTTGAGAAATTAAGTAAATTCGTTTGGAGCGACGTAGTACATAATATTATAAAATTTCAAAATATCAAAAATGTATCTCTTATAAAACATAGAATAGGAGTTAACGAATTCAAATCTTTTTTTTAAATTAAAATTGGACAACTAGAAATATGCTGAATTTTGCCAGCTTATTGGCGTTTTTCATTGTCGCTTACCCGCGTAAATACAAACATATTTACAACAGTGTCTACGAAGACTTGTGCATGTTATAATATGTGTGCTATAGAATATTAAAATGTATTCTCTTCGTTTGCCTGTAGTTGGGTGATGAGGAATCCACACTCATGCCGGGTTGCATGAAAAATGTATCAATTAAATAATCCAATCAAATTTATGAACTAATCATGTTTAACGGACCATTAGCTCACTATTGTTTCTTCAATGTTTAGTAATCATGTACTAACTCAACAACCACGGGTGGCAGCGGCGAGCTTTCAAATTGCCTAAATGTTGCTCCTTAAACAATAGTCACCAAGAACCGCCTTAAACGTATAACATTTAGAACAAAAATGCTACACGGTACACACACTACACACACGTAACATATTTTAATGCATTGATATCAGATGATAATGACAGCTACATTCATACATTCAATTAGGCACCTAATTCTTGGTATAATACTTCATCGGTGTTTAAGATAAATGTCGTAACATAATGTATTATGTCATTGACGTTTGTTTTTATATTACCATTTAAAAAGCCACACGTTTTAATATGATATTATAATCTCATTTATTATACAAGTTATCAACCATAATACAGACATATTGTATAGGTAGGTAGTAGGTAACTAGTAAAACATCTTTCATGATGTTAATGCAATATTACATTACATAGGTATTAATATATTGTTATAAAATTGTATATGATAAATATGTCAGGTATTTTATTAAAAAAATATGTGTATAAATAAAAACAAACATATTTTATCCATAGAAAAGGTGTCGATTATTAACCTAATATGGTAGCGTATGGTTATAATAAATCAATAATGAGGTTAGCCTTAATCTTAAATGTACAGGGAATGGTGAACTCCTACGGCAGAAGCACGATGTACATAAAATCTAATTTATTTACATCGTAAGTAAAAGATAATCGTCTATATTGAAATAGTGTAAGCTTCTACACTAGATAGCGTCAGCTGATACAAGCTTTTATTAAATAAAAAAAATATAATTATTTATTTCTATAAGTATGAGACAAAAATATTATTATTTTTGAAAAATATTAGTCATATAATTGTTATGATATATTTGTACATGTTCAAAAACCATTTCAGTTATATTGTAAATAAAAATAAAAATAATTCATCGTTTATAAAAAAACATTGAAAACAAATTTGAGACTCCCTACTTATTTTTATACTTTGTAATTGCAGTAAGAATAGATTATGTGGGACCTTAAATTACATTTTAAAACTATTCAAATTCACTAAAAAAAAAAAAAACATTTTGTCAAAATAAACCGAAACCAGTCGAAAATTTCAAATGCATAATGCATAACACAAGCAAAAATATGGTGTGAATCGTAATGCCTTGGTAACACTAAAATAAATGTTTTATAAAAATGTCAAGTCTTTACGGTTTTTAATTATTGAAATATCTATTAAAACGATGACTCAAATTGTAATATTCACTAAATGGTACATAATTGTTATTATGACCAAACATAAATATTTTTAAAAATACCAAAAATGCAACAAAAATAACTTGAATATACTATTATAACTTATTAATAACTATATTTAGTAAGTACCTAATAGATGTGTTGCTTGCTTTGAAAGATTTGAAAGTCTTAGTATGTACCACAGTAAAGTAAACAAATGTGCCGGATACTACAAACAATTTGTTCCATTTATTTGTCTAAAGAATTGTTGGTTTAGTGTTGGTTATATAAAAATATATTAATAAAGTTAAAGATTATTTTGATAAATGCCCGAAAATTGTCCAAATGAATAAAGATAAATGTCCAAATTAAGTCTTTGTCGTTCGTAGGATCTAAAAAAGATAAGACAAGTAACTTACTAAACCAAACCTTTTATTTTAAAAATTTAAAAAAGTTTTATATCGACGATCAATTCGTTAAATGCAAATAGGTATTTTTAGTATGAAAACAACCTAATTCGAATTCCTTTCATTAAGTACTTTTCGTCATCAGAAATAGATTATTATTATTCCGGAAATTATTACTATAGTTGGAACAGACTATTATAATCATCAATTATGCAATATTGAGTGGAAATATGTTTGAACAAATTGTATGATTAGGCATGCATGCCAAAATCAAAGGAGTAAATACCTTCTGAATAGAAACACATCAGTCATCACATAACAGCATTGAAACATTATTTTATTCTCAAGTTATATAAGAACGCATCAAAATGTAATGCCTATATAAAACTCCTTAAAATTGTTTATTGTTGATTCCTACATAATGCGTAAAATGCAATCATGCCAGTCGGCAGTCCATCTACTTATTTGAAAGCGTATAAATTGGTATATAAACACAAATACATTATATAATATGTATTGATCAATAAATTGATAAATCATCGCATTCAAAAAACATTTCTGAGCTGAATTTACTTTATCTAGTTTTTTATAAAAAATTTTTTTAAATAAATGTTTAGTACAGATTTTAATTGTATTATATATTGGACAATATGTTGACATGTACAATTGTAACGCATATTGTTAATACAGATTATATTTTGATGTTATAATGTTGTGTTTTAAAATATCATTAAAAGAATTCTCAAAAAAAAACCCAGGTATTCGCATTGTTGTACCTATAGTAGGTTTCAACTTTCGAGTGTTCCTCATCATTGAGTACACTGTAATGGATGTGTTAAATTTGATGTGTCAAATTTGAATTCAATGATAAACCGTTGTATACTTGTATACGAAAAAACAGTTCTGTGTATGGGGACAGTTCTTCAGCCTATGTTTCTAACAATATTTAATACATATTTGATATTTTGCTGTTTGTAATAATTAATACATGCGATGGGTCGCACTAATATTTGATTAAAAAAATTACGTACCCTCAAGTCAGGACCAAAGTAGGTGTCGCACAAATAATGTGAAGTGAAGTTCTATACAATATTATTTTAACTTTATTTTTCAAGCCCCTGTATACGAATAATATTTTTTAAATTACACCAAAATAACTGAAATTGTTATTCTTAAATATTCCATTTCATAAAAAATGTAAATTAAAATAATGGCTGTAAAAAATTGTGAATACCTTTTTTCGACTTTTTTCATCCCACAAAGAAAAATGTATGAAGATTGAACATTATATTTAATTTTCAATCTTGAGCTTTACAAATTTAAGTACAAATTAATTAGCACAATCGCAATGCTGACGATAAAATTGGCCAAAAAATGTATATCAATAAAAAAAACAAAAAAAAAAAATTTCAAAGTTTATATTACTTTAAAAAGTTCCAAAATTATTTTAAAATTATTCCATGTCCAGAAAATGCTATACAATTATTTGAAAAAAATTACAAGTAATTACAAGTATCTACGGTTATTCGTTTCTTTGAACTACAACAAAATAATAAAAATCGATTTTGTAAAGAAATGTTTTTGCATAAAAAATCTTTTTTTTCACGGTTATTAAGAAAATTACTCTGACATTTTTATTTTTGATTCCCTAAAGCACTAAAAATGTCCGATTTTCTACTATAAACCTTTAAAATGACCAAACATTGAAGCATTGTTACTGCTCTAAAAGTTATTAACAGACACACATACGAAGAAATATATAATTGTTGCAAATCAAATCACTCCACCCTGAATCTAAAATGTTCCACCAAAATAAAAAACTTCACCATCATTTCAATTTTAAGTACCTACTTATTATGAACAATATTTTTTATTTAAGTCTATTTTTATGCTTCTTTTTTTTATCACATTTATTATGAATTATGATCAATATAAATTGAAAAATTGATTATGTTAAGAAAAAATTACAATTATTGAAGTATTATATTATTTTATAAACAATTATGTATTACATTACACTATACTGTTTTTACTTATTGTTCGTGAACACTTAATCACCATCGCGGCATCGCACCTATATAAATTGAACACTGTTGACCAACATCTATACTCTAAACATTTTATTGTCCTCGGATAATTGAAGTTAATTATTTAAAAG